GTTGATCGCTGCATCTGAACCGCTCATTGAAGCATGACGATAAAATGTTTTTCGAGTTATTTCTGTTTGCGTACGATCTTTTCAATTCATTAATTTGATTTTGAACAATAAAATTCACTTCAAATCTTCGGATGTTGAGATCGTTACTGAGCAAAACGATATTGTCACGAAAGAAATCATTCAAAGTGTTATATTATATCTTGAAGATTTGGTGAGATATTCTTCAGCTATGGATACTCCTTCTTAATATATCATACCCTCTCCAGTTCCATGAAAGTCACCAGAAAGAGACAAAAACTGGTCAACAGTAATTTCGCAATTTCAGCGTTCGCATCACACCAAAAGTGATTTAAACATGACAATCAGATCCATAAAATATAGCATAAACATTGGTAAAATCAAGAACCTCAGGATAGTGGTTATTTGGTGTGATATAAGATAAAGGCTGATTAAGATCACCAGTTTGTTGAGTGTTTGGCAATGCATAAGATGTTTGCTTATTACTACGCATCATTANGAATCAACTTTTTTGAGGAATGTAAAGTTTTTTTTTCATCTATTGAATTTTTCACACATATCAGCGTACCTGAAGCGGCGCTGATGGGATTCAACGAAACTGTCATCTATGGAAACTGAGGAATATTGGTGAATGTTTCGGTTGAATTCGGCACAGTTGCACAGAAAGAAGTGCGTGCGGACTGATCAAATTGTAACGAAACACTGACCCGATGAGGTTGTGAGAATCGCAATCGTCGGCAGAGACGTGTATCAACCGAGTACGGAACATTGATTGAAAGTTGCGTATTCCATCGCAAGAATCCAATAGCTTTCAGTCGGTCGATCATCAGTTTAGCACAAGCTTGACACGCCAACGTTTTACACAGGAAAACTTTCGCATCCTTTGAAAACAATTCTCAAATTCAAACTTTGACACTTCTCATGTTCGCATGTTTATTAAGATTCTGTGATAGTGCATTCACAAGCATTTTGCTCGGTTTTTTGTACTGAACGACACG